GTCAAATGAAAAAAACAAAGTTTAATTTACTAAAGACAACATTTTAATTTGATTAAATTTATAATTAGGATACAAAACTTAATTCTTAATCGCAGGTGTTAATAATTTTATTCGTGTATTCTTTACAAGTGTGTGTGTGTGTGTGTGTGTGGATTATTCCTCAGGGGAGAGGACTAGATTTAAGAAGTCAAACCCTGTGAATACAGGATGAGGAAGATGCGGAGGAGGCTCGACGTATTCAATGGTGGTGGCTTCGGAGTTGACGGATATGTTGTCGAACTCCGGATCGTTATGTGGGAGTTCCTCCAGTTGAGCCTCTACTGGAAGAGGGTGGAAACGGACAAGCGAAGGGGGTCTGTACTCCAGGAGCTCTTCTAGGATCGGAGAAATGGACCTGGGGGTAGGAAGTGGTGAAAGGTCAAGAAAGGGTTCAGGAGATTGTTGAGGAGATTCCTGAGGAATCGATGGTGATACAGGAGGTGGGTCGGTTTGAGTGTGTGTGGTTGTACGAGAGTTACTACGTGGGGTGTGTCGCCTAATTCTAACGGATCTTACGATGACCCTCGCCGCGTATCTAATGTATGGTGGAAGAAATATAGCTATGCAGAGAGCGAATGCCGAAAGGTCCGAGCGATTCCGACGATTGTTGGGTCGCGGCGAATGTTCAGTTCTCACTGATAAATAACACAAAAATTTTAAGCGAAATAGGGACGGAGCACATAATAAGAATAAAAAGAATACTGATGAGAAGAAAAATAAAAACAAATGAACTAACTTACTCGTTACAGGATAGTTCCGGATTGGGTTGAATGTGTACGGTAGTTTTGAGCAGGCGCCCCGTTGAGGGATGGTGTGTAGTCGTCGGACCCTTTGTAAACGTGTGGGCACCCTGCTGCGGGATGGTGTCGTCAGGGTGATGGACCCTCTATTTGAGATGCACCACTTGGTCGTGACAAAGTATCGACCTTTTTTTATTTCGCGGCCCGAACTACTCGAAAACTGTCTTAAGGACTTGGCAAACTTGTTTGATGAACTGAGTGACTAATTGTGTATAATTGCGTTTGGAGCCACCAAAACACGGGTTTTTATACCCTTTCCTTGGGGTGGATCCATTTGGAAAATCTTAGGTTTTTGAAGCGGGGATCGAATAGGAATTAGTCTTGTGAGAAGATTTTTAATGTGGGGGAGAGTGGCGTCATTTTTACCTAATAGGATTAGGTTTAGGTAATTAAGTTACTTGGAATGGGGGTAGGAAGAAAGGGGCCCTAACGAATAAGGAATAGCGTCGTTTTGGGTCCATATGCGATGGGGGTAGGTTTTTGAGGTGGCGTAACCCGGTTGGTGTTAATTAGTATAGGTGGGGTGCATCTCAGTGTCTTAAGATCTAGGTGGGCGTAGTCTTTAGACCGTACGATGGAACGAAGGGTGGTCTATAGAGGTGCTTGCCCTGATTCCCGGCTTCCGGATTGGAGGGTTGAGAATCGGTATATGAGTTCGCGAGGCCTTGGGTCACTGATCTAATAAATTTGACAGTTTACGACTGTCGCGTGGCCCTGGGGTCGCGTCGAGAGTGCGATTAATGCATCTCGGTTTCCCAGACCTACTGAACACGTACACCGTATCAGGTGTCATGCCTTCTAGGCGTGCGACTGTGGTCATTGCCCGATCGTCACTCGGTAAAATCCTATCTACTAGGGTTCCCGTAGGCGGAATTATACCCAAGTATATGGCTAGCTGGTGCCAGTTTTTATTTCTTACTTTAAACATCTGGAGTCGACTAAAGACTCCGGTTACCGCAAGTTTTGACTTTTATGATTTTTCTGACGACGATAAGCACGCTGACCGACCAAAGTATTTTCAAATATCTATCCCCCTTGCTATTTTTCTGTGTGAGAAAGTTCGAGCTCCTGGTGTCTTGTGAGAAAAACAGCTCTGGCGTTATAATATTCTTTAAGAGTTTTTGTTGGTCCCGTGTTTACTAGGTCTGGTATTTAATGAAAAGAAAAGAATCGTGAAGTCTGATCAGGACGTAACATATCTTTCGCGTGCATTTAGTGTGTGCGATACACAAATGTACGAAGTTCGTTAAAATTGTTCTCATACGCATCACATTTGCAAATTGTTCTCGGAACAAATTTTTTGCGTTGCGTTCAAATGTACACGGATCGCAAACATGCGGCTGCGACTATGCACACAATTAATTACGGACGTGATCATCATACCGTGCCGAATCCATGACATTCCTGTCAATCTTGGTTAAGGCTTAAACCGCATACAGTGATCCACAGCTAAAAATCGATTCCACATATCTGCAAACAAAAGTGCGGCATGCAATACATAAATAAACAATACGGAATTGTTTAAAAATTTCTAGGTTATTTACGTACTTAAATGCAACTTTCTTAGTATTAATAATTTAAAGTAAAACATGAACCTTTTTTTCTACTATTTTTTTTTTTTTTATTTGTGTAATAGAAAAGATTTTAAAATAAACGAATAAATTTATCCTGCGATTTTTGATTGTACAAAAGACAAGATACTTCTTTAGAAAGGACGGAAAAATTAATTAAATTTTTTATCAATTGTACTTTTTTGTTGCAATACAATCAAAGTCACGATGATTACCATGCTTATAATAAAAATAAAAATTAATTTTAGAAAAAATGTGTTTATTAATTTATCTTGAAGCTATTAAGGAAGTCAAAATTAATCTCTCCGTCTTTTAAACTCATAAATTTACAATATCATATTTCATCAAATTTTAGATTGGTATTTTATGTCTCAATACATAGACACATCCATCCGAATCGCATGTGAAACAAACGATGTTACGCCTTTTCAAAACATCTTCAGAAAGACGTTCATAAGAATAGTATGACTTTTGCAGATGCCAAAGAGCATGATCTGCTCAAACGTATCCATGGCTCGACACAGATTTCGATGCAGCATCATATTGAGAGTTCTACATGAACAATAATCGCATGAACAAAATGCACGCGCACACCTATACACGTATTACACAACATACGCATGTGTTATACATATACATATACATGGAAGATATAAAAGTATGCGATTTAAAGATCGTGCATGTAACAGAGAAACCCGAAGCGAATTGTGAGCACCTTAGAATCAACACGACGCTGGAATTTCTTGACAAATAGGCGAATATGTACATATAAGGGTGATTCAAAACAACCTACTGTCCTTAAAATGTGATATTCTTAAGCAAATTCTTACACAATTTTTCCTTTTAAAAAATTTTGTCCAAAGCTTAGTTTTCGAGTTATAATTGAAAATAGTTAGCTACTTACAAGTCCGGTACAGCGGGCAAGCACACTGCAAATTCAAGTGTGTAAAAAATACACACTTAAAGTGTGTAAAATCATGTAGTCACTTATTACGCATTTGTATGCATGCTTATTTTTT